GGAAAATTACAGTTCCTCCTCCGGTATGCTCTGTAGTTCAGGCTTCCAACTACCCCGTCCAATTCCACCTCTCACTTGACCCGCGGCCGCCGCTTTTGCCACCTGCCTCCTCCACAACATATTCAGCTGCTGCTCCAGCGCCGCCGGCCCCGCCAACCCGCAGCCGTCCTTGATCGCCTTCAGCACCTGCTTCAGATCCTCCCTCCGCACCACGAGCTTCACCCGCCCATCCTCCGCCGCCGTCATCTCGCCGCCGGTGAGCCGCCCTATCGCCTCCAGGATATTATTGCTCGCCGCCGGTTTCTGACCTCTTCCCGATCTCGAGAATCCGAAACCTCTCCTCGGCGACGATCTCTGGTACTCCGCAAGCTTCGACTCCATTATCGTCTCCTTTTCTCCAATAGTTACGTACGGTTGCAATTGCAATTTGCAAATAATTGTAAACACTTCTCTGCGGTGAGTGATTAATTAACTGTGTGCCCTGTTTCGTGCTGTGCGTGCAATTCGATAACCCAAACTGCGATTTTGGTGCTGGATATTTATAGTGTTCGTAAATGCTTTGGTCCAACATATTTCTTATTTAATAAATAAAATATAATAGGAATTAGGTAACCATAAATTTAAAATTCGACACCTAACAATGTACCATATTTTGGGGAAGTTGCGTGTATAAGTTGGCTAATGTTTACTTAGTATATCAATTTTAGAATAACATAAATTTCGGGCATCCTATTAAATTTGAACAAATTCACATGCAAAACTTGCAGGGAACATGGAGATATTGTTCACGTGCAAAACCATAACTTTCGAATCATCCCAAAAACTATGATGACATATGGAGATTGTCATCACAAGTTACATAAACGTTAGGTAGGTCGACCCGTCATATTCTATGAACAAATATGAATAGTTAATATACTATCAGATGTCATACTTCGATTTATGACGTTTACTAAAGAATGATATTATCGAATCAAACTATGCGTATTTGGGAAAAAGAGTATGCCGATCTAGGTAATGTTTAGTAACCAAATAAGCTAATTATAACTTATTTGGTTAGCTTATAAGACTCTTGTATTCAAATAAACTTCGTTTTGTAGGACTTAAAAAACTCGAGCTTAGCTCATAAGCTTCTTTGGATAGTTTTTCAAATAAGCTTGTTGAAATTTTTATTTCAACTAACTTATCAGCTAAATTTACAAATACTTTTATCATATAAACTAATTTTTCAGCTATAAACTATAAGTTCAAAAATTACTTATAAGTTATAAACTAACTTATCAGATAGTTTTACTAAATATATAGTTTGGCCGGTTTAACATACAAGACCTATAGCATGGTATAATTTCCTTTTATTTAAATCAGTCTACTCTATAGTTGTCAAATAAAATAGTAAAAAGTTTAAAATTTTGGTTATTTTATTTCTAAAATATAATATTTTAATATATATACATATATATATATATATATATTCATGTGTATATATATTTGTTTTTTATAAACCATCTAACTGTAGAGAATAAATACACATGGAGCAAAATAATAACGACCAGTTCAATCTTCCATCCCTAGATTGACTTGGAAGATGATGAATATGGAACAGAATATAAGACTATACGTACGTTGGATTGATATTTACTATTATTACGTGTAATAAATAATTTATTTCATAACAATGTACGTGTTCGTGATATAATTGACAAAATCGCCACCGATCATGAATGTGATTAATAATTTATATTATGATAATATGTTACAAACAAGTTGAAGTTAGAAATTAGAATAGCTAGGTGGCTAAGCGTGGTTATATTTCTGAGATTTTTTTTTATTTTTTTATTTTAAAAAGCGTGGTTATATTTGATTTGTTTTTGTATGGCCCAATAGAGTAAAGCTTCTCAATATATAGCTCACTGTGACGAGATTATTGGAGGCTAACTTAGATATACGTTGAACGTTATGCAATTAACTTCTCAAATAATATACGTCATGCACGCCCTCGCTAATATATAGGTAGTAAAAAAATGTGAAAAAATTAGAAAAGTTGTCGCATATGATCCAAAAGGAAGCTACTTATTAATGGTAAAATAACAATACTATTCCAATAAATATTTTCGTACTCAAAAGGTCATACTTCAATATACAAATAACATTTCATAGTATAAGTATGCATTATATGTAATTTTTTCTATTATGTATTAATAACATAAAAAGGCCCTTGAGCAATAATAATTTCGGTTTCTGAATCTTTATTTTTTAGTAGTGTCTCTTGTCTTGCAATTTCACAACCTCCTAATTAGCACACTCATGTTAGAGCCAACGTACCTTCCACAGAAATTCCCGTTTTCGAAAAACAAAAACGCCGGCACTCTCCGAACATCCATTTCCCTCATCATCCCCATGAAGCCATCGTTTTCATCGACGTTTATTCTAGCAAACACGACCTTATTGGTCATCTGACTCGCCACTTTTATCACGCCAGGGTATATTTTCGCGCAAGGCGAGCACCAATCCTTGACCACATTGACCACGACGAGTTTACGAACTTTTATCAAATTCTCCAAATCGTCCCTTGATTTCACCTCGACCACGGGCGAAAACGGGTCGTATCCGTAGAACAAAATGTCATCCGCGAGCTTTCTCGGTTGGAATCCGGACGCTTGATTGATTTTTTTTGCCGTTTTTCGATAGAAGATGAAATGTGGGATTTCGTCGATTTTTTCCCTCTTGCATAGTTGCTCGGTTTTCTTGTTTTCGTTGGCAAGAATGTACAAAAACTTGACCTCATTCGACACGATGCATTGTTCCTCCATGAAGTGCCGTATTCTTGAATTGTACTTATAGTGACCGGTCGAAAAATGAGCGATCACGAGTTTTTCCTCCGAAAATAGAAGATGCTCGTCGAATTCTTCAAGGGAATGAATCCTTTTGATTCTTTCATTATCGTTTTTGTATTTTTTTTTCATATCGGGAGTGGAATAATTTTCACTCACTCGCAGGCAAACTGGATCATTTGTTTTTATTTGCAAAGATGAATTAGCTGAAACTCGACTTCTTTCACGTGAAAAGTTTCTTGGAGAAGAGAGGGGTTCATCGTGCCTAAACATGGAGGAAGAGTGTGAGAAAGAGAGAGCAAAGTTCACAATTGTAGCCATGAAGTTTTGTTGCTTACAGAAGGGAAACAAGTCTCACTCTACATTTTGATTTTATAGGCAAAAGGCCTCCGAGTGTTTGTATATGAAATTTCTCATTCCTTACTCAATTTATACTCAAAATCTCCTCAACTTTTTTTTTTTCGGTATAAAAAATCTTTTCAACCTTAACTCAACTTCACTATCCTTTATATTATCAATATAATTAATTAATAATATCATTCAATCATTCTTACATATTACATCAACTTTAATTTATTATGCATCCGCTCACATAATTTTAACTAATTATCACTTCATATCATATCTCTCTTACTTTTACAACAAATCAACTTTAATTATTTTACATTAAATATTATTTTAATAGAAAATCAAAATCTCACTAATAACGATACCATTTCTTCCAAAATTATCTCTAATTAACCAAAAAAACTCATTTTGAGCGGATATTTTTGTATACAAACACGTATATGCAGAATTAATTATTCTGTTAGGCTCTACTGATTTACTGGCTAAGACTTTGCATTAGTTACCTCAAAGGCTACTAGCACTAGTGGTATTCATTCTACATTTAGGGGGGTGTATTCAATTCGGAATTTAAGTGATATTTTAAGACTTTTCGAGATTTGAGATTTTCAGATTTTGGAAGAATTCTATGAAATCTCAAGTCCGGAGGTAGGATTTTAAGTGGGATTTCATATAAGGTTTTTTGTTTAGAAATCCCACAAAATCTTAAAAAGTCTTAATAAATCCTAATGTCAAAAAAATTAAATACCTCAGGATTTTGTAAGACTTTTGAAAATCCCAATTGAATACCCCAGGATTTTTAAAAGTTTTAAAAAGTCTTAACAAATCTAAATTGAATACACCAGAATTTCTAAAGTCTTAAAAAGTCCTTAAAAATCCTAATTAAATACACTCCCTTAATTTAATGCTTAATTCGTTCATTTGCTTTAATTAGTATGTAAGTTTGGCGGGACCTAACTGATGCATAAATGATACTCGTGGGTAGTTACAGCAGAATACATCTCCATACATTTGCATGTTTGGCTAAGAATTATCAACAGCTGGATAGTAGGAATTAGGAATTAATACTCCTACTAAATAATATTTTATAAGCACCAAGTCATTTTTTTTTCTCGTTGCCTAACCATATTTAAAAACAGTGTAAACAAGTTTTATTATATATTATACATACTAGTACAGAGCCCATGCGATGCACGGAGCACACAATTTTAAGGCTATTTATCCAGGCTTATAATTATATACATGAATAAAGAAAAATGTAAAGGATATATATAGTACGTGACCCAAAGCACGAGATATATTTATTTAGAGAATATTATATTATAAGATGCAATATTCAATAAAAGTTTATAATACGCAAGAAAATTGTACAATGTTCAATAAAAGTTTTATAATATTCAAGTGGAGTCTTAAAGTCTCTTGTACATTAAGACTACTGACAAAATAATATTTTAAGCAATGAGTTTCCTTTCCTTGTAGCCAAATTGTGAATGTGATTTGAGGAGTACAACAAATCGAAATATAGCTGACTTGGTTTTTTCATTGTAGTTTTTTTTCTTTTTTTTTTTTTATAATGAATTTGAGGAGTAACAGTTTTACTTATTGTTGTTCACCATATAATATTTAATTATTATTTTATTATATAATAAAAAAGAAATATTGTTAAATAGTGTAGTAGAATTGTTATAAAACTATATGATTTTTTCTTTTACAATATGGATTTAATATTTTTTTTTTTTTGTGATTTGATAATATAAACAAATTTATACTTAACTTTGACAAATAAAACAAATAAATACTTTAGTAAGTATTTAATGTATATACTAAATAGGAATATATTTGGTATAATCAAATACCAAATATAATCAAATAAGTCAAAGTGTATATTTTTATTTGGTATTTAATTTTTTTATTATTAAAATCTTTTTATTATACTTACCTTTTTAAAATAAAATAAATAAATTAATCAATTAAATAAATAAAATATTATAATACCAAAATAGTAATGATATTTAATGCAGTTGACTTTTCTGGATAGTAAATATAGTAAATAGAATCTCATTTTATATAAGTATAGATTGTATAATACGGAAATAGTAATGCAATAAATGTTGTTGACTTTTCTTTATACTTAATCTGGTAAATGGTATATCTTTTAATATAAGTATAGATTCATAAAGTATGATGGATCGACGTGTCTATCAGTCTATTTCACAATAAAATTTGTGATCAATAAGACAGTTACAAATGTATGGAGAAGTTGCCAAACTTTCAAATCACAGAAAAATAATGCTAATTGTACCGAATAATTTTTATACATAAAGGTGTGTAGATATGCCATACATTATTTAGGAATCACACTTGGAAAGAGTGTATATACAATTAGATAGAGCAGCAAATACTGTAGCGAAGCTGATTTCAAAAAGGGGAAATGAGCCATATTTTTTGATACACACAATTCATTTGCATTTGAATATTCAGATGGGCCTTGTACTTGTACAAGGCAACATAGTAGCCTAAACCCACATGTCTTGGGCCCAAAAATACACATTCAAGCCCGTGTCAAGCTCCTTACTAAGGCTGGTTAAATTGGGCCCAGAACTCCAGAACTCAATTTTCCAGGCCCTTAACGCCTGCCCCCGCATCAAACTCAGCCGCATAATTCCGACGACACCACCGGCAGCGAGACCCAAACCCACCGCGCTTAGCTCGCTTTACGGCCTACTAATACACAGTAATTTAATTACTATCAATTGATTATTCGTGAAAAAACGGCGGAGTCAGGTCGGCTGTGAATATGGAAGGCGGAGGACGACGGTTGTGGCGGCTCAGCCGCTGCGTGATGGCCGCTGCATTTCAGAAAACCAAGCCTCGATACGCGAGTCTACGGATAAATGTTTGCTGCTACCAGAACCGGTTATTCGGCCGCGGCTACTCCAGCTCGCACGGATTTGCGCCGTCGCAGCCGGAGCTTTCTCACGATCTCGTCAACATCATGGAGCAAAAGTTATCCGCCATTGAAAGCCGGCATGCTCATCTTCAATCTGTTGTCAACCAGGTAACTATGGTGCATCTGTGTGTATTTATATTTTGATGTATGCCCTCTGATATTCATGTTTTTAATCTGTTTGAGGAAATTCCTGTGTAAACTCCTTTTTCCCCTGTTTTATCCGAAAGTCAGCCGGATGCCTTGCCGGGAGATTATTCCACCGCGAACAAAGAGCTTAAGAAGCTCCGGCATACAATGGATGTGGTGGCTGAGTTGAGAAAGATAAACAAGGTGATAACAAATTAGCCATTTTCTTTTTTTTTTTTTTTTGTAGTAAAATGATTTAGCGGGTACAATAAAACAATCGAATGGTGGTGATTTTGGCAGGAGATTGAGGGCCTGAAATTGGTGATATCTGAAGCCCAAGATGACAAGGAAATGCATGAAATGGCTTCTGAAGAATTGGGGCAGGCGTCTGAGGAGGAGAAGCGCCTTCGCTATTTGTTGCTCAAGTCCTTGCTTCCTAAGGACGATGCAGATGAACGCGATTGTATCTTGGAAGTTAGAGCAGGTGATAATTTCTAGTGTCCCTCTTTATCTTGCTCTGCTTTCACATTTTTCCTTTCCCTCCGTTATTTAAGAAAATGAGTTTCTTTATGTTGAATCTTTAGTGTTAACTGTTGATTAGTTTGTTTTAGGAACCGGTGGGGAAGAGGCTTCTTTGTTTGCGATGGACATATTCAAAATGTATGCATTTTATTTTATTTTGCATAATTTGATCAGTGAGTTGCTGTTTTTGCGTTATGGTGATTTTCGTTTTCTTGGTATGCATCAGGTACGAGAAATACTCCCAGAAGAAGGGATGGAAATTTGACATTCTGGATGTCGCAGAATCTGATCTTAGAGGGTACAAGGTGGGTTGCTAACTGCCTTGTTATTGTCCTTTTGCATTAAGGGTCTTTTTATTTTCTATATAAAGGACTTCCACACTAAGTCATATGCTGTTTATCACACACTGTTTTGCTTTTTTCTGGGCTTTGTTCATTCGGCATTACAGAATTTTGTTTTCAAATTTTTGTGGGTGTCCTAGGAAGCTAGTGCTGCAATATCTGGTGCAGATGTGTATGGGAAACTGAAATTCGAGAGTGGGATTCATAGAGTGCAGGTTTTGTCCTTATGATAACCTTATTTTTTTCTTTTTCTNTAGTTCTTTTCGAATGAATTCTGCAGGTTGATGTACATTTAAGGAATGAAGACCTGAAAATCGACACGTATAGGTCTGGTGGTTCAGGTGGTCAGCATGCGAATACCACAAACAGTGCTGTCAGAGTCACTCATGTACCGACAGGGTTAACTATTGCCATACAAGACGAACGATCCCAACATCAGGTAACAAAAGTCTGCTAATAGAATTGCTAAAGTTGTTTAACTTAATCCAGTACATTTGCATTAATAAAAATATATATATATGTATATATATATTGTCCTGTTACATCAAGAATAAAAGATCCTATTTCCCTGCCAGAACAAAGCCAAAGCACTTAAGATACTGTGTGCCAAATTGTATGAGATGGAACGAACTAGGGCAGCTGCAAGTCGTTCGAGACTTAGAGCAGAGCAAGTAAGAATTCCTATTCAGATCTTTTCTTTTTTTTACCATCTTATTTGGGTCTTGTGTTTCGAATTATGATAACTTTTTTTTTTAATTCTCGATTTCTTGAGCTAGATAGGAAGTGGGGACAGATCAGAACGCATACGTACATACAACTTTCCCCAGGGTCGTGTTACAGACCACCGTGTGGGTATCACTACCCACTCAATAGATGGTATGATGCAAGGAGAGAGTCTCGACACTTTTGTCGATGCTCTTCTGTTGCAGCAGGAAATGGATGCTATCGCATCTTTAACCTCTAAACAGTAACCAAAATTTGAGTTTTTTTTTTTTTTTTTTATTTATGATTAGCTGCTTCCACCTTGCACTTGAAGTCCATACATTTTTTCTTGGTCTCCCCCATTNAGAGAGAATATGGAATTATGTCAACGTTTTGTGATCTTCATAGTTGCATGGTTTTCTTTGATTTTTATTAGCCACTACTGACAAAACTTTATTTGATGAAGAAACTCTGCTTTGTTACTGTATAATTTGTAGTGTTTTTATCACAGTTTGTAGTGAGAACAGTATTGAAGTGTTGAGGACATGATTCGATATTAAAGTGAAAAAAATTAATAAGGATGGTTTATTTTATCCACAAGCAAGAAATATATAATTGATTATGACTAAGTTTGATAAATGTTTTGAAATTGTATTGTAGCCTTTTGTACTATTGATGTTAGATATTACACAAAAAATTGAATTAATTATTACTATTCCTCTACTACTGTAGCTAGTCAGCCAATAATTTCATGAATTAGAATAAGTTATTAAATTTTTCAAAAATAGGTTTGAACCATTAGAAGGTGAAAAAGATGTGCGAAAGGAGGTCTTTATCATCATTCAATGAGTCTAAAGCGAAATCTAATAACATAAATGTAACGAAGCCAAAAAATAATAATAAAGATGAGGTTGGGGTCCATTGGCTCCACCAGCTGTCCTAACGTATCACTCTGAGACGAAAAGAGAACTCTCTTGAGATTCAATTTACTGTTCGCATTATTTTGCAAGCAACAAGTTTGAAGGGCATTTTCGTCCTTGTAACATTTTCTCAATTCACATAAAAATATAAATTAAATTGCTCTCAAACCATTTTTAGTAGGAAAAAAAAAGCGTATGACCGTATGAGTCCAATTGATCCTACCACTAATAGTACAATTACGCAATAATTTAGATCAACCCCATAAATTGGTGATTTTTAAAAGTTATATAGTGCAATAGAAGTTGTCGATTTCGTCCTAGGTCGCCAACGCGAAATTTAAATTTATGAAACTCGCATAAAATGTGTCATTTTTTCTTATAATACACTTCACGGTCTAAATAATTAGTAAACTCAACCAGTCTCGATCCCATATATGTACTAAATATCTAAATTATGAAGCAGTTATGGTCATATATAGCTGTTGGATATCTATAATATATATATGACAAAATTACTTTATAACATAAAAACGTAAAGAATGACCGAAATAATGTAGAAAATTAATAGTTGTTGATCAGGGACGGATTTGTATTGGGCCGTGGCCCCTTTTATTTTTTTGAAAAATCTATATATATATGTATATAAAAAAATATTAAAAAATAAGTATAAAAATGTTCAAAATACTTACAATATATTAATAACTATTTTTTATGCTATTTTAATTTAAATTAATAAAATTATTTAATTTAAAAATGTGCTAACAATCGTTATATTTTACATTTTTAGATAAATTTCTGAAAATATTTATAATGAATTTAATCTCTTAATTGTAAATCGGGTTAGTGCTTTATACTCCCTCCATTTTGAAATATAAGGCATTTAAGGTTATTGCACAAATATTAAGGAGGCATTAATTAATGAATAAATTGACTAAATTAACCTTATTTACTCTAATCACAACCACTCCACACTTCCTTAATTTCAACACAATGAGGGTATATTTGGAAAAAAATGCAAAAATTTGTCTTGATTTTTGAGCGCGCCTTATATTTCAAAAAAATTGAGAAGTCTTTATACGCCTTATATTTCAAAATGGAGGGAGTAAAACCTAGTATTTAGTATTGTTACATTTTTTAATGTTGATTTTTCACTTTTTTTTTTGTGTGTGTGTAATCACATACTTTTAAATTTATTTATTTTCTTCTTAATAAATGTTCATTTGATAAGCAGTGATTGAACGCTATCCCAATCTCTATCAAGAGTACCCGACAAAAGTTCTATGCAATGTGCTGCAAAAGTTTTTGTTTATTTTTTTTTTCTTCTTAAAAATGTTCATTTGATGAACTGCAATTTTTTTTTCTTCTTAAATTATAAATACATAAAACACCTTTTTTTTGTTTATTATTTTTAAATTTTTAGGGTTACAGATTTTTTAAGTTTTTAAAAACTTGATGGTACACATATCGATATTTATATTTATAGTAAACACTTTTTCATATAAAATGAGCGTTTCGACTTAAATTACAAACTCGTTATAACATTTAAAATCGGGCTCCCTGAGTGAAATTCCCAGATCCGTAAAAAAAATTGTAACTCGTATTATTAAGTCAGTGTAGCATGATTCATAAATATATGCACTAATCCACGTTTTAACACAATCTAATTTTTTATTTACTTATGACCAATTCAACAAATATGTTACTGTAAATGTAAATGTAAGACTATACAAGAAATGAAGCAAATCACGTGTTTATGCGTATAGTGAATGGTTTTCCACGACTTGTCATGTTGGGGTCATGTTATTGCACCACTTGTTTAACGACTCTCGTGTAAATTTTAAAATGTTATGTATAATCCCCGTTAATTTTAAATTAGTTTAGATTCTTGATTTATTCTTGCATCATTTTTTCAAAATTATTATTTTTATTTTTTTTTAGATTCATGAACATTCACTAACTCACCTAAAAGTTAATGTCAATGTAAGACTTTTCTTCTCCAAACTAAGGTTAGAGTCATCAAATGCGCGGATCGCTAGAAGACCCCTTGCACGACGAAGGAGCACTTTTACGAGGAGGGCGAGGAATGCGCATAGGGGTTAGACTCCCACGTGTTGGATTCAAAAAGTGTGACTGAGTATTTACTGAGCACTCGGAAGACACATCTCGTTCCCGCGGCCCCATACCTCGGTTAAAACTGTTTGCCGTGGGACATTGAATGACAACATTATTGTTTGATGGTTCAGACAAGAGGTCTGATGTGTCAATCAACGCAGGGACAACATGTTCATTAGTGGAATGGAAGTCTGGAAAAATTGCACAGTCTGAGGAGGCCAGATATATCGAAGAGAAAAAAAACTTAAGCTCATTCCAACGAGGATCGCCACAATGTTGATAGGCCACACTGAATGAGTTGGACTAACAAAACACAAAACCAAGAAGAATAACAATTTCAGTGAACATCAATTGAAGTGAATAAAAATTTCAACTAGTCCAACTAATGCTTTGATGAGTAAACAAGTAATCCACAGTCCACTACCTGAGAACAATTTCAGAACATTGGCCATAGAGCTTTAACCACATTCCATATCAAAAGGTTTATTGTGCTTTCAGTTTTAAACATTTTTTGGAATGTCCAATTAAGACAGAAAACCAACAATGCATAACTCAGATTCATTAGTAATACCTCGAATATGTCATCCCAAACAGCCACGGGTGCCGTCAAGACGTTTGATTTCACACAATGCCGTAAGCCGTGTTTGCGAAGCATCCAACTGAAAACACTATAACGTTTGTGGAGAAAATCAAACCGCAACTCAACATCACAAAGGCTAAAGTTTAGGTCCAATGCTGCCTTGATGCCCAACCTGCAGTAATCAAAAACTGAGTTAGCGGGTCTCCCATATTTCCAATCACCCACAGAATTTGCCTCCATTAGAAGGTCAATAAAAAGATTGTCGGCTTCTTTTGTCCAGCGGTCATCGTACAAGCACTCCTCTTGTGTTATTGCCGCGGACAGACGAGGCATGTTGTTGGTTGGTTTATAAGAAATGTGTACTCCCTCACTTTTGTTAATGGAGTAATGAATATGGCATGGGGTATATATATATATACACTGTTGAGGAAATTGTTTCAAAGAAAAATTAAATCCAAACACGGAAGCTGGAAAAGCGGAACTGTCATTATTCCAACAAACAGCAAAAAAAGCAATTGGAGTCAGAGAATAAAATCTTCAAATTTGCAGGTTAATCGACATCGTCTGAAGATTCCATTGAATAGGCTTTTCGAAGCAGTGGAAAAGATTGAAAACAGTGTTCAAAGATCCAATTATGACAGTATTGAATTACAACATTGAAAATATTATAGATCTTGCCAGTAATGAAGAACGATTAAAAAAATAAACGAAAAAAATGATTATTAGGGCAAACTGGATGAGTGAAATTGCAAATAGGAGGACGCACCACCAAGAACACAATTTCTTCAAATTGTTTGCTAATAGATGACCCCGTCGTGCTCTGCCGTCCCCAAATTTCTGAAGAAGCTCAACGGAAGAGAAAGAATTTTCTGGCTCCCACACGCAGGGAAAGAAATTAAAAAAATCACCAACAATAATGTTATAATTTGACCCCTAAAACAAGGGCAATTTAGTCAATATACACCGTAATGTAATTCCTATCATGCAAAACAAATGTAGGTTGAACTTATTTTCAATTTTATCGAAAACATAAATCATGCATAACAAACAATTGATTTCTTTAATCTAAACAGTATAATCAGGCTCTACAAATTAAAATAATCTAATCCTGTCTAGGAAACCAAATGTGCCCTAAGGGTATAAACGAGTCCAATTGAGTCAGTAACTTGGCTAGTTTATCAATATTATTTACGAACCGACTCGAACTTTAGTTAGCAAAGTTATAAAAAATTTATGTCAATACTAAATAACGAGTTGAGTTGAAAGCCCGATTCGTTAACTAAATGAGTTTTCAACAGGCTCGAACTTAGTTAATTTATCAAACGGAGTGGAGCAGCCTTAACAAGAGAACTCGTGGACAAGAACTCTAAACTGAAAATTTTCACACTTTCTATAATCAAACATATTTTCAGGCGAGACAAAACTTTCTTTATACAAATTGCGCACAAGTTGTGAATGACTTGCGCGGGTGGGGCCATGCTCTCTGCTCTCACTGTCTCACGTGATTGCATAAATACGGTATCCTCCCAATATGTGGCCACAAAACATCAACAACCGTTTTCAATTTTAGATTTTAGCTTTTGTCGGTAGTGTGTGTGAGTTGTTACTTGACCGGAAAAAACCGTAGAATGGAGAATTTGGGGAGGCTGAGCCACCTGTTCGCGGCGGTTTTCATGTCCAACATGGCGGCCTACGCCGTGAATCCGGCCATCACTGACGTCATCGTGGAGGCCGTTTGCGGCGGCAAACAGGAATGCTCCCTCGCTATTTACCTCACCGGCGTCCAGCTAGCGGTACGTACCTCGCACTGCACCAAACTGTACATAATCCGACATTTCAACTGCAGGTAAAATTACTAATTGTGTTTAATAACTAATAACAGGACATTAAATACGTAGTTTGCGTGGGTATACGCAGGTCACTGGTTTGGGGGCCCTGGTGATAAATACAAGAATTGGTTGCTTTGACTTTTTCTGCAGACATTTCTTGACAGCATAGCTTGGTCAGCTTGGGTGAACATTTCAATTAACATTGTACTGATTAGTTTGCTGGGTAGGTGAGTCTCACTAGATTTCTCAATGAATAAATAGGTACCTTATGCTTCTGCTTCCCTGGTTTTTTTCTTCTCAATGTGAGTTGCCAAACTCCCATATCGAGAATGTTATATCTTTCAAAATGGTTTTTGAATCCGTGATCGTAAGTATGTGAACTCTATCTCTACAGTTACGAAGCTTGGTTTCCAAACAATCGGGGCCACATGAACAGGTAAAATTTCTCAATTACATAGTGTGAGGTATATCGTGAAAAGGGTGAATTTTGATGTGGGACACTAGGGTCCGAGCTGTTCAATCAACATTTTCTCGTCATTTTTGTAGGGTATTGCTCAAGGATGCATTTTGGGCATAACATCACTTGGTAATCTTTTATCCCCTATTGTTTACAGTCCTCTATCAGGTGATCTAACAACTCTAATGTTACTTTTGTTTAATCTAATTTCAAACTGGGACTTGGGAATATTTATAGAACTTATGTATATCCTTTCCCTTTTCTCCAGCTTTGTTTTTGGCCGAAGATGCACCATTTTATTTCCCGGGCTTTAGCATCTTCTGTGTAGGACTCGCTTATGTAAGTAGCTTATTATATAATCAATTATTGACTAAACCGAACATGGCTAACTGCATAGTGTCGGTTCGCAGCTGATAGGTTCGATTCTCAGTGTATTTATAAAGATCCACATTGGTAGAAGAAGCAGAGTGTGAAGAAGGGAGTCGAGGCAGGAACTTCNAAAAAGGAAAAAGCAAACTTGTAACCAAACAAACACTACCCCATACATAAATATGCCAGTGAAGTGTAAATCAAACTCAAAGAGCAACAAATACGCCAAATGAAACATTTATTCCAGAAATGTGACATTGGACTGCAAAATCAGCCATCCTTTAGACTTCAAAAGGTTTCTCAGTAGAAATGTCTCCAAATAGGAAAATAATATCAAGAAATGCCTTCTCATCCATAAACTCGCTTTCCTTGAGTTGAGTACAATTCTAAGTAGTTCAGATAAGAATGAATCTCTTACTTCTTTGATTAGAGATATAAACAACATAAATACAAAACAAATCAATTTCCAACGGACAAGTGAAACCTTCACGTGAAGGATATGGAAGTGTATTATTCAGTCGAATGAAATGGATATTGTATGTACAGTGCATTAGAATTTAGGGGTGTGAAACACACACACACACACACACACACACACATGAAAACCAAAAGTCCGAACAAAGTCTACTGTATTTTGGTCAGTGATGTCCGCGTCTCAGAGAAGAAAAAAATCCGCCAGATTTTTCCTTACGTTTATCGTCTCCATCATCTCCAACCTGTTGAAAAGCTATAATATCGACATTGCTCAAGAAAACTACTACAAAGTCAAGATACTCGTAATTTCAACTACCAAGTTGAGTAAAGCACATTTAGTGTTCTTCCCTTTCTCATAGCAGAAGCATACAGTAGTAAAA